ATTTAAACTAAGAAATCTCAATAAGGTGTGAAAAACTTTAATAACGTCTTTAAACATAGAGGCTCCCGAAGTCAGTGAAAGCTTCTTGAATGAGAAGAACATCCATTAAAAGYAATCTAAAGAAGTCTGGTTGGCATTTTTCAACCAAACTCTTTGAAGTGCAGTAATATCAACAAGTGAAGGAATGTGTGAGTAATGAAAATCATTTTAGTTAATTAATCTGAAGGGCTAAACTCATACAACCTCGTATGAGACTCATAAAGTAAAGGTTGTTCTGTTGCCACTTTATGGACTGCTGGGTCTTAGTACCCAAACACTTTGTCCACTAATTACCATTCCTCCTGTGTGGTCAATTAGCATATGATGTAAATGAAATGTGCATAATGTAATTTTTGTATGCTTTCTTTTGAATCCCACTGTGAAAATGTAATATTGTAGGTGGGGAGAAAAAGGCCAGTTAATTTGTCCGGGTGCTGGGAGTTCCCGAGCGGTTCTGCTCATGCGGCGAGCTCGTCCCGTGGCGTGAGAAATGGGATCGAATGAATCGAGTTTACCATCTTAGCCTGGGGAAAGTCGACGGAAATCCCAAATTTAATTAGACGGTGCGAAGTGCAGCRGAGATAAAGACCCAGGCTGGTGTTTAGTCGACTTCAGAATGTCAAGCTCATTCAGACATGTTCTCAAGGTGTTCAGCCTAATTATGCTCTGTACAAATATTATTAGCTATACAAGAGTTGCATGAGTCATGTTCACACATTTGTTTTTTTTTTCCAGCTCAGCTTGTAAAACTTTAAAAGTAAATGTTTGAAACAGTAAATCATTATTTTAAAAGAAGAATCAACGTTGCAATCCTTTAAAAGGATAAGCTTCTGATGAATTAGCAAAGATTCGAGCTCCTTCCTGCCCCTTATATGTCCTTGGTTCAACCTGTTCATCTCATCTGCTGCTCCAATCACGTTCCGGCTCTCTCCACTCTTGGCAGTCTTCACGACAACCATATTTTATATCCCATAATAAAAGTTTTATACGCTCTACACACATTATTAGAGAGGATAGCAGCTAGTAAAACACTTGAGAGTCCGAGAGGGGAAGGGAGAGTTATGGAAAAAAAAGAGGCAGAAGAGAAAGAAAGAAAAGGAAGATGGATAAAAGTAGAAAAATGAGACGGCCACATGAAGGGGTGAAAAAATGCAGAATTAAAGATTCAAGAGCAGATGGAATAAATGACAGGAGGTAAAAAAGATGAGAAGTATGCAGCAAGTCGGCCCAGGTAATATACCAAACCATCACTTTCACCATTAAAATTACGCTAATCAAAACTGTCTTTTTTTTAATTTGAGTGTGTTGTGTGCACAAGATTACACAGAAAAATCCATCAAATTAGTGATGTCATCGTGTAAACATCAAGTTCCCCCACAGAACAAAGCAGTGATTCATTTTAAAACCATCTTCGACACCTGAATACTACAGCGAGAAAAGGTGGACAAAGATGTTAATCCTTTGTTTTATTATGTCAACTTCCACAATCAGCATTTTTTTTCAGATTCTGAAAAAAAGTGTAGTTTGGAAGTTAAGATTCCTGTTTTTCGTTTTTCTTTTCCCTGTTTGTTCCTAACCTTCGTCTCACCTCTTCTACCTTTGTTCAGCATTTCCCCGTTGTGATTTCTCTCACCTCACTGTTTACCACTAAAAAACAAAAACAAAAACAAAAAAAAAAAACAAGCCAAAGTCAGAAAACTATAAAAAAGAGGAGCAGTGTCTGTGCTGTAGGCTGCCACTCTTGCTGCATCATGTTTATGATATTGATTCAGATGTCTAAATTCTGTGGAGAAATCATTAGTAGGCCACATCTCTGTTTATTAGTGCAGACTATAAACTGGTCCAGAAAATGTGCGTTAGAATATGGCACTCTTTTTTTTAAAATAAAATTTAATCTGAATAACTCATCTTTCCTCAATGTTTGTATTGGGTTTAATGTTTCTTTTAATCCAATGACACAATTAGGATTTTAAGCAAAGTGGCTAATAAGGACTGTCTGCCACAGTTTCAGTAATAAATTCACATGCAAATGGGCATGGTGGYAATCACATTTCAAGCCACTAATATATGCTTCTTCCTTTTTTTCATAGTTGTCACCTTTATTTTACTGTTTTAGTTATAATTATCGAAATGCGGACATTAATGCACGTGGGTAAAGTTTACACCTAAAATCTGTGCCTGATCATTGTAACCTCCCAGTGTGAGTTTTAGTAAACTGAAAGTCTTTAACAATTTAGAAAAGCTGTTTAAATTAGTTTTATTTAATTGTGAGTTAAATTAGTGGCCACTAATGTTTTTGGCTGCTGCAATTGGCTAATTAACAAATACGTTTGTGCTGTGGATCTAACTGTGCAGCTATTTCTTTAAAAAAAAAAACAGTACCGGTAAGCTGTTCTCATTTTAAAATAAAACTGCAGTTTTTTTTTAAGTGATTTATAGTAGCGAGTACACAGTTGGGACCTTCTCCTGACTTTGTTTGCTGTAGAGTTAAACTTTTCTCCTCAGGGCAGAATTCATTTACATAAGATACAAGTGCACCCCCTTGTGGTTAGGGCAAACAGTACATCCATGTGGGGTAGTGGATATGTGGTGCTCAGTTTATTAGGTTATCGGTGAATTTTAACAGGTTAAACATTTCATTAGTTTTCTGTTGTTCTCTTTATTTATTTTAAACTGTTGATTTTTGTTTTTCAGCTACCTATAAAAACACTTTATGTACAGACAATCAGTTTATTAGCATGTGCAAAGTTCACTGATTACTCAAAAACGTTAAGGCCTATTTTTTTTTAAATCCACACTTGATTGCACTGTTTGAACTCAGAGTGGTTACTTAATCAGTGAAACCACTTGTTCATTAAATTTCATCATCGTCAAGTAATTCTGGGATATGTTCACTTGACATTTATGAAGTCATCCGCCTTGCGAGTGAAATAAAGCAGAAAACAAGAAATCCTCATGACTTCTTTTTTTTTATTTTCTCTGAATGTCCTTTTAGACGCCGAGACCTTTGAACATCATCAAGCAGAACAACGGCGAGCAAATCATCCGACGCCGAACCCGAAAGCGCCTCAACCCCGACTCGCTGTCGGTGGAAAACCCCGCCCCCAAGCAGCAGCGAATCGCCAGCGAGGAGCGCGTGAACGGGGAGGAGTCGGACAGAAGCTGCTCGTCGGTGAAGAACCAACAGCCGTCGCCCCGCTCGCGCTCCCCCCGATCCACCCAGGCCTTCCTGGCCAATCAAACCCTGGAGATCCACAGGCGCATGCCGCCCCTCCTCCTCCCGACTCACCCCTCCCCGGTCATGGTTGCGGAGAGCAACGGGGCCGTCCCCGACGGAGGGGTGGCGTCGAAAGGGGAGGCGGGAAAGGGGGGAGCGGGGTCTGAAAGAGGCAGCCCGATCGAGAAGTACATGCGTCCATCTAAACCATCCAGCTACTCCCCTCCAGGGTCGCCCATTGAGAAATATCAATATCCACTTTTCTCCTTACCCCTRCCTTTGACTATCTCCCCTGATCTGACGCCCGAGTCTGACTGGCTTCGATTCTGGACCAAATATAAGATGGCAGCCACCTCCGGGGTCCCTGGGAGCCTCAGTAATCTCAGCAGCCCGGGTGGCCTTAATAACGCCCACCATCTGAGCACGATGGTGACTCCCGTTCAGTATCATCAGCAAAGCTACACGGTGCCTTACTGTGCTTCTCCCTACTCTCCTCTCCCACCTCCTCCGGCCCCCGCCCACTACGCCCCTCCTCATCAGGCCCAGAACTCCTCCTCCACGGCGTCGTCGGAAAGCGACGCTCCTCTGGATCTCGCGATACGACAAAGGGACACCAACGTGTCGACAAACGGCGCCGAGAGGAGGCCGACGGGGGGACGGAGAGGAGAGAGGGAGGAGGAGGAGGTGACAAACGAAGGAGGGAGCCTGAGCGAGAGCGAGCGAGGAGCGAYAGACGACGGGACGAAGCGTCAGTCGAGCTCTGCGTCAAATTGCGCGAAGGTGGACGCGGCCACGCAGAACGACCCGACCAGTCGCTGCGTCCACTGCGGGATCTACTTCCTGGACGACGTCATGCACGCCCTGCACATGAGCTGCCACGGCGACCGGGCGCCGTACCAGTGCGGCTTCTGCCTCCACACGTGCGCGGACCGATACGACTTCACCACGCACATACAGAGGGGCTTGCACCGGCGCACGCACGAAACGTCCGAGTGTCGGAGCGCGACAGGCGGCGAGCAGAAAGACGGCGCGGTCACGGGTGACGGCGGTGACGTCAGAGCAACGCGTCCGGACGACCGAGAAGAGGAAAATCCAGGCAACGAAGCCGACGACATAAAAACAGGTGCCGAAAAGGAAGGAAGGGGAGGAGACAAGGAATTAAGAGGCAAAACTCTTTCAGATATCAGCGAGGAAATCTCAAAAACTACAGAAGTTTTGACTGTCGTGGAGTCTGAGTTAGATGGGCTCACTGATGAAAATTAAATGTCTACTCATACAATTTATTAAAAACATGTTCTCTATGTCTTAATGTTCCTGGCCCTTGTTTCGATAGGTTTACCCGGGGCACTAAATGGAACTCATCCTTATGCTGGAAGCTGTCAAATGGTCAAAATAAGAGAGAGAAAAAACAATTCTTTACAGCTGAACTCACAGCAGAGGCAGGCTGCAGAAACAGCCTCTCTTGAGTAACGGCCACTCAGCAGCTCGGTGGCCAGAAGTCAACGGGGTGCTGGCATCCAGCTGAAATCACCTTTCATAAACCTCCACTTTATGTGCTTTCAATAGAAGAGGACTGGACTGAAGGTTGGTGGGGCCTCGCACAGCCACCGCACAGCAGAGCAAAGATTCTTCATGCTAACAGGCCCGTTCCCAGTCTGATGTATCATCCAGGCTGGTTTTATTTCGGCAAAACCAGATCTGATCTGGTTCGAACTGCCGTTTTGTTTGTTTATTTTTATTTTATTTTTTAGCACCTGTCCTCTTTAACTGTGCAAATGGATCAAAAACCAAAAACACTTATGACTGTTACACAACTGGTTTATTTGAAACCGCCAAGGGCTGGGTTGCAGTTCAGTCGGTACAAAGTGGATCAGGTCGTCTCACTCACGTCGTGCTGTTTCTCAAACTAACCYAGTTTCTGGATCAATGCAAAAATCACCGTCTCTGCGAGGTGACTGACTATTAGCCGAGCTCGGTTTGACTCGGACTTTCTGAAACTGCTTAAAGCCAGTTTAAACGGATCCGATCGATCTGACTCCAGACTGAAGTGTTCTCTACATCCGTTTGGATTAAAACTATTATTTTCTACCTTCCTCTGTGCCATGAAACTAGCTATGTGCCTGGCTGCTTGCCTCTTAGAACAACCATTTATTAACCTGCTTGACATTTATAATAAGAATAATTATAATGGTAATAATGAGAACAATGATGGTGTATTCGTACAAAAAAAAAAGGCAATTTGCTACACTTTCCTATTATTTTGTAAAGGTAAATAATGCTTTTTAAAGGAAACGGTACTATAAAAATTAGTCTACGTGAGTTCTTTTTTGTTGTTTTTGTGTTCCTGATGGGACTTGTTGCTTTGATAGAAGTCGGCTAACAGAAGTGGTACAACAAATGGGAGAGGGRGGCGTGTGCTTTTGTGTTATAGCATTTTAAAGTGTGTGCGTGAGGCTTAAAGGGTGCGTCCGTCCCCACATGATGATGTAAACGTGATGAATGCTCGGTTTCTCAGTCCTCAGGGGTCGCACGTGTTGCACACCAACCCGCCTGTTTCACAGCATGAGACACATCATGTTTTTACCTGTCTAATGGTCTGGGAAATGACTTTTTTTATTTTTAGCATGTTATGTTTTTGTTCTCTTTTCTAGGTTCTTTTTGTGTTTCGTGTTCAATAGGTCAACGACGTAATGTTTCGCTTTCTTTATGTCTGTTTAGGTTACGACGTTTTATAGAGACTTAAGAACTTAGGGAGTGAAACTCGACGTTTTTTCTAAAGGATCAAATGCTCGAGTTTTAACTAAAACAGACTTTCTCTCTGTATGCAGTTTACAGAAATTATTTTATCTCGTGTTGCCGGGAGTCAGTTAGGTTACCTCTATGTAGCAGTATAGCAACTTTTACAAAATCTGGAAAATATGTTGCCTTTAATAKAGATGGGAACTGTTACAGTAATACTTAAACTATAAGAAATTGATCAAATATTCAATGAAGTTATTTTGCTTTCAAATCCATCACAAACCATCCCCTTCTTAGAAAAAAACTCACCTGTAGGCCACTGGAACTAAGTTGTAGTTCCCGAATGTTATGTTGTTGTTGTTTTTCTGGAGTTTTATTAGCTGTAAAGTCCACAGTGAGTTGAAAGTTTCTCTGATTAGGACTGGTCATGTTGGCCGTTACGTCTCCAGCCTCGCTGCCTTAGTTACTGGGAAATTCTGCAAAAGAAAAGACGCTTTCTTCAGCAGGATTGCGTAAAAGTAGACGGAGAACAAAAGACGCAAGTGAGCGAGCTAACAGGATAAATAGTTATTTTTCTACGCTTATCCAAGTGCATAATATTCCCCTTAGTGCCTGATAACCTGTGCTTTTTTTGTGCAGACGGACATTTCATCATCTCTAATAGTCGTTACTGAAGCTTCTGGCAGATTTTTGCGCCGACTTCTTAGGTTCTCATGCAATAAGTGTCTGAATTCTCAATGTTTCAGAAAATGTCCGTTCAAACAAATCCATACTCATGTCTGGTTCTAACTTCAGTCGTCTCTTGAATAGATTTGAGTTTCTTGGATGAATGTACACTACTTTAAATGGCCTAATCAGCTGACACATTGCAAATGTTTTCATTCAAAGTGGATTTGATGAGAACAGTTTTGATATTTCATTGCCCAGGTAGAGATAATATTGGCATAGGTTTATTTGGAGTTGTCCTGATGCATCTCAGTAATCCAGGTAAAAAATCAAAAAGAAAAAAAATTGTGTAGGTCTTCTGGACGGGTCCTTCTCTAATGAAACGTTTCAT